AACAACATGCGTACTACTGTTTCATGAGAAACTATTTGTTCTGTAAGCCTTCACCTGAAGTACAATTAAAAAAAAAAAAATTTAGGACTGTTACACTTATTGGAAAATTATTCTTTTTATCATTATGTAATTTCCATCTTTATCCTTACCAATGATTTTCAGGTTGAATTCCATCTGATCTGATATGAATACTGCTATACCAGCTTTGAAGTATATCTAGAATACCAAGTATTTGCCTGGATTTTTCTTTGTTGTAAACCTTTCTTTAAGGTTTCATTTTAAGTGTATCTCTTGTAAGCAGCATTATCATTCAATTTGGAGGTAAGAGTTTTAATCCAATCATCTACTTTTTAATAGATTAATTTAATCCATTTAGATACATCCCATCTACTATATTATATATAATTTGTATTTATATGGAGTTAGATATACTCCATATAAACCAATATAAATTCCATATATTTATACTTATATCCACCATCTTCTTTTGTATTTTTTACTCAACCACGATTTTTCCTGGCTGCTTTTCTTCCTTCTTCTGTCTTTTGTAGAACTGAAAAACTTTTGCTTGTTCACTTTCTCTTCTCCTCTGCTTGTTTAGAAATCATGGCTGATATTTTTATCCTTTTTTTATTTTGTTGTTGTTGAAAATATACACAGCAAAACACACACTAATTCAACAGTTTCTACATGCACAATTCAGTAACACTGACTACATTCTTCAAGCTGTGCAACCATTCTCACCGTCCTTTTCTGAGTTGTTTTCCCCCATTAAAATAAACTCACTGCCCTCTAAGGTTCCTATCTTTCAAGTTGCTGTTGTCCAATTTGATCTCATAAAGATAGTTCTTAAAAGAGCATAATGCTCAAAGCAGACATTTTTTACTAGTTAAACTAAACTATTGTTTGGTTTTAAGAAGACTTCCGGGGATATTTTTGATTTAAGGTTTAAAAATTATCTCAAGGCAGTAGTTTTAAGGATTCGTCCAGCCTCCATGACTCCAGGAAGTCTGAAGTCTATCAGAATTTAAAATTCTGGTCTGCATTTTCCTCCTTTTGATCAGGATTCTTCTATAGAATCTTTGATCAAAATATTCAGTAATGGTAGCCAGGCACCATCCGGTTCTTCTGGTCTCATGGCAAAGGAGGCAGTTTTTCAAGGAAGTCATTAGCCACACATTCCATTCCCTCTTCCTATTCCAGATTCTCCTTCTTTCTCTGTTGCTCCAGGCAAACTGTTGTGTCTTGGATGGCTGCTTACAAGCTCTTAAGACCCCAGGAATTACACAATGAACTAGGAGGTAGAACAGAAGCACTAAACACATTATTAGGCTAATTAGCTGGGATGTCCCACAAAATCATGACCCTAATCCTCCAAACCAGGAACCAAATCCCATGAGGTATCTGGTTATATACATAAGCCACTTCAGCAGTTCTGTTTTTTTTTGGGGGGGGGGGACGGTCATTGTTATAAATATGTCTATCACACAACTTTTGCCAATTCAACTTTTTAAAGGAATGGTATTTTTATTCTTTTAGTGGCTAGCCTTAAATTATTACCACACACACATAAGATTCATATTTTCCAAGCAAAGACTTTTTCCTAAATTAGACAAGGATTTTATCACTCTAACTCCCTTCCAATCTCCCTACATCTTCTATGTTAATACTATCTAAAATTGTAGTCCCACCTTTCTAAAACAATAAATTTAATTGTTGTTTTTTTTTAAAAAAACAAACAAAAAAATTATTAGTAATGGGAACCTTGGTGGCATAGTGGGACTAAGAGCTGTGGCTGCTAACCAAAAGCTAAGCAGTTCAAGTCCACCAGCTGTTCCTTGGAAACCCTATGGGGCAGTTCTACTCTGTCCTAAAGGGTCGCTATGAGCTGGAATCGACTCAACAGCAACGGGTTATTAATAATTAATGAGATTTACTAACGTATTTTACAGGTATCTTTTTATTAAACTCTTTCTCTCCAGGTTTCCTTTTCTTCTTGCTGAAGTACATCTTTCATAGTTCTTTCATTAAAAACCTGTAGGTAAAAAACAGTCTTTGTATATCTAAAAATGGCTTCATTTTCTCTTGCACTTGAATGATCATTGGCTGGGTTAACAGTTATTTTGCCTCATAACTTCAAAGATATTGCTCCACTGTTCTTTTGTTGATAACAAGATTGCTATTTCTCTGTCATTCCTCTGTGGTTTTGTTAACTCCCTGTAGTTTTAAAGAAAGGAGCCCTGGTAGCACAAAAGGTTAACCGCTCAGCTGGTAACCAAAAGTTCCATGCTTTGAACCCACCAGCCACTCCGTGTAAGAAAAGACCTGGCAATCTGCTCCTGTAAAGATCAGAGTCAAGAAAACCCTACAGGGCGGTTCTACTCTGCCATATGGGTCACTATGAGTCAGAATCAACTCAATGGCAAACGACAACATTTTAAAGATTTTTTTCTTAACCTTGATGTTCTGCAGATTCCCTAGAATGCACCTAGGAATGGACCTATTTTTATTCATCCTGCTCAGTTCTTAAACTCAGCTTCTGAGTTCTCGAGAACAACACAGTAAGGAAAATTTTCAATGTTATTTCTTTACATACTGCATGCCCGCCATTTATTCTTTACTTTCAGAAGTCTAATAAAACATATATTAGAATTTCTAAATCTTAAATTCTGTTACATTTTCCATCTCTTTCGTTTTCTGAGATATGTTCTAAATCCTCCTCAATACTGTCTTCCAATTCACAAATTCTCTAATTTCTTTGTCCAATATGTCATTTATTCCAATAATGGAAGGTTCTTAAAAATTCATTGGCAACTTTCTAATTTCTAAGATTTCTAATTGATTCACTTTTATCTATAAATGTTCAAAATTAATATCTACCTTTTTTTGTAATTTCTTCTTCTTGTTTTAGTTATTCTTTCCTTTGATAAACTTAAACTCATTTATTTGAAAGTTCTTTAGAAAAATGCGATTTTTTTCATTATCTAAGAAGTAAATTCTCTCATTTGCACAATGTTGTCAATATTTTATGACATTATTTTTCCCATGTGCTTTGTTATTTTACTTTGCAAGCTTATTTTGAGTTCAAGTTTCTTGTATTTTACTTTTTTTCCTTTTCTCACCCTAAGTTCAAACCTCGTATTTACTAGTTTTATGGTTACCATCATCTGGCCTACTATGGTCCCACTTCTCAAGGTCTTGCATTGGGACCTTACAAGTCTCATCCTTCAAAAATATGGCAGATTCAGTCCCAAACCAGAGGGCCACTTGAGTGGCTGTCTCCACTCCCTTCTATCTCTTCAGGCATCAGCTATCCCAGGCCATAATCCCAGGCAGAATGTAGCTTTTTTTGTCTGCTAGTGCAGAGCCCTGCATAAGCCTCCAGTTTCAAACCATGAGCCTGGATCTGTCTCCCCACCACAAACAGGGCATTTCAGCCTCCTACATCCCACAGCAACCGATCTTCTGGATGCTTCTGTCCACTAAGTTTGGGAACCTAAACTCCATTTACCTGTCGTTGTATGTTTCTGTTTTATTTCTGGCCCACAGAGGTGTTTACCTTATTTTTTAAAACACTGTCTTTACTTTTTTTAAAAAATTATCATTGATGCTTCTGTGTATGGGGAAAGGAGCATCCTTGTGAACTCACTCACACCCATATCTTGACTAGAAGTCTGTGTTTTCCTTATATGAGGTTTTTGGTGTACATAATACGTGCTAAAGGAGCCCTGGTGGTGCAGTGGTTAAGAGCTTTGCTGCTAACCAAACGGTCAGCAGTTCAAACCCACCAGCCGGTCTGCGGGAGAAAGATGTGGCAGTCTGCTTCCATAAAGATTATACAGCCTTGGAAACCCTATGGGGCTGGTTCTACTCTGTCCTATAGGATCATTGTGAGTTGGAATCAACTCAATGGCACACCACAACAACAATCCATACTAGTACACGTAACGGCAGCAAACTAAGATAAACTATATGAAAAGTTCAGAAAAAATAACTATGGATTAAGAAGCTAACTATAACTATGCTATCAAAAAAAAAAAAACTTTTTTAAAAATAAAGTAAGCTTGTTTTATCTAAAATTTTAGTACAGCAATTTTGAAAATGTTAAGAGTCCATATAGCTTTACTGTCCCTACAACCTACAGCCATCATTATACCAAGAAAGAAAATCATAAAATAACTCACAAATATGGCATGTGTGGCACAGGGATTAATAGCAGAAACTGTAGAAATTGACAACCTGGGTTCAAATCCTGTCTGTGTCACTCACTAGCAAATTCAGTAATCTGTCTCTGCCTCAGTTTTCCTCATCTGTAAATGAGGCTAATAATAATGCCTACATCAAAGAGTTGTTATTATAACCAAATGACTTAATAATTGTAAAACATGTAATACAAGCTAGGCACATAGTAAGTACTAGATACATGTATTAAATACACAATATTACATTAAATTTTTACATGAAAATATACAACACTCAAACCCTAAAAAAATTAGATTTTATAACATAATATATTCAGGAAGTGAAATTAAAAGTCAATAAGTGAAAAACTGTATATGCTATACCTGTTTAGTAGTTTTATGAGTGCCTTGAATTGTTCTCTTCAATTTCCCACCAGTTTGGCACTTAGGCTTTCCTTCAAGGCAAAAATAAAAAGTAAATAAATAGAGATCAACAAATAGATAAAATAAAACTGAACCATGGGTAGTGAAAAAACAAATTTCCAAAGTCCCAGAGACTGCTTTTCTAGAATGGCTTTCTCAGAACAGGACTAAATCAGCTTCTTAAAAATGTCAGATACTCTGGCAATTTAAAAATAAAGTGAAGTTGCTGAAATCCTCAACATATATTCAACTCTGGAAAATATTTCTTTGAATTCAAATTTTATTTCAGCAAAATAATTAAGAATACATTTTTTACCATATTAAAAACCAAATATTTTCTGTTTTAATTAATTTATCTGATTTATGAAATATATAGCTTCATTTCAATTGTTTGTATTTTTGCAGTTAACAGATACAGCTCTCTCATTTGTTCTTTTTTATAATAAGGAAGACTAATAGTTGTTTTGTAATCATTCTATTCTTGAGAGCAGTTCAAAACAGGAATAAAAGTCTATAATGTGTGCTACAGATTCAACTGTGTCCCCCCCCAAAAATGTGCTGAAATCCTAAGTCCTATACCTGTAAATAAGAAGCCCTGGTGGCACAATGGTTAAGCACTAGGCCGCTAACCAAAAGGTCCGCACTTTGAACCCATCAGCTGCTCCATGGGAGAAAAAGACTGGCAATCCGCTCCCGTAAAAACTACGGCCCAGGAAGCCCTATGGGGCAGTTTTACTCTGCCCTACATGGTCACTATGAGTTGAATGAACTAGACGGCGCTCAAGAACATAGAGCATAGAGTGTTGACCACTAGAATATACGCTCCATGAGGGCACGTATTCTTGTCCTTTCTAATCTTTGACTATCCCAATAGTCCCTCGCATGGAGAAGTACTCAATAGATATTATGCTGAATGAATCATTTTATGAGCCAAGCTGTTTTTTATCCATATATTTTTTTTCTCATAACTTTTTTTAAAAAAAATAATAGCATGGCACTCATTATTTCCTTTAATCAGAAAAATAAACCTATGTTTCCCATGGGTGGGCAGCCCTGGGTGACTACCAGATGCCTGTAAATCTGCCCACTGTCCCTGCCGCTGGGTCTGCGAGTGGAGGCCAGGGTGCAAAGGGTCCAGGTGTCAGGGACACCTGCCTGGGCTTCAGAACCAGCACGGCACTGGGGCTGTGCCCACCCTCCCCACCCCCCCCCGCTGCCCTGTAACTAGGGTGACTTGCAAGGCTGCCGCTGTGAATGGGGCAACATGGAGGCGCTGAGCTGGTGGCCGTCTCACCTCCCTTCTGGATCAAGCATCTCTCCATAGCCGCCACTGCCATCACCCTCCCTGGATTCCCATCAGCCCCCATCCCTCAGAAGCACTGGGCATGGGGCTGCCCTGAGACAAGGTCAGGGCCAGTGGGGCCACGTCCTGAAGGTGGGTGTTCCGGGAGGCCAGTTCTGGGGCCCAAGAACAGCCCTGGAGCATGAGGACCCTAAGAGGGCAGCTCAGCAGCCAGACAAGGCTGTAGGGGAGATACTCTGAAGGGGCCGAACAGGGCACTCGCTGGCCTAGAGCAGGGTGGATGGATGAGCCCTGGCAGCCACCCCCCCAGCAGACCCTACAGTACCCCACAGTCTGGGGTGTAGCCAGGCCCACGAGCACAAACACACAATATCAAACATGCAGACATGCCCACTAACAGGCGTGCACACACACGCACACTCGCACACACACCACGTGCAAATACACCACACCCACGTACACACACCATACCCACACACCACTCTGGGTGGGTTCGAACCACCAACCTTCCAGTTAGTAATTTAGAGTTCAACTATTTGCCCCATCCAGGGGCTCCATCTCAGAGTAACTTGGAAATAATTAACTAGCTAAAGACAGGTTTCCACATCACTCCCTTATGCCTCTCCTCCTAGCAGTGTCAGCTCACACAGGAAACACCCCTCTCTTCTCTCGGTTCCCCAGGGACCCCCTCCCCTCAACTGACAAGCAGTTCTGGGCCACTCTAGAAAAGCCTACATCCACACAGTTACTGTCTCCTCCCCTTCCTCCAAGCCCAACACATGTCCAAGGTTGAGAGTTATTTTCCCAATTATCTCCATCTCCAAAAGGAATTCTGGTTTGGCATTTGTTTAAGCTCCAAGAAAGGTATTTCTTTCAATGTCATGGTCCGATGAAAGGAAACTATGTTCTGCGATATTCAGAAACCTTCATGTGAATCATCACCTAGAACTGTAACCTCAACTATGCCTTACAATCCAACCTACGCACTTGGGCCAAAAGCTGTCACTGACTTCTACTAAGATTTTACTCTGTCTATGTTTGTGTTGGTGGTGCTGAGGACGGGAGAGTGGAGAGGGCAGATTAAGAATATGTGAGTGTGTATGTGGCTTATCCCACAAACTAGACAATAAGCCTCCTACAGGACAGAAGCTCTGTCAAGCATCTATTTTCCACATACTGCCTAAGCACACTGCCTACCAATAAGTGCTTATTTGGTGAAAATGAATGGACAAACTGAATTTGATACTACATACAGAGACACAAGCTTGCAAACATCCAAAAAAAAAAAACCAAACCCGTTGCCAATGAGTTGATTCCGACTCATAGCGACCCTAGAGGACACAGTAAAACTGCCCCATAGAGCTTCCAAGGAGCACCCGGCAGATTCAAACTGCCAACCTTTTGGTTAGCAGCTAGCACTTCACCACTACACCACCAGGGTTTCCAAACATACACAGAAAGAAACAGAAATATGTTTTAAATTATTTAATCACTAAAAACGATTCCCATAAAATCCAGCGCATAAAATTGTGTGGATGATGATTACACTGGTCATCAATGGGTTAAATCAGGCCTACCATTTTCTACAGCACATAGAATATACTTACCGCTGAAAGAGTTCCAGGATTTCCCAGGGAAAATAAGCTACCCACACGCACCTAGTGCTGCCATAACACAAATGCCACAAGCAGGTGGCTTTAAAGAACAAGAATATATTGTTTCACAGTTTTGGAGGCTACTTTTGGTAGCCTCAGGTGTTCTTTGGCATTTCTTGGCTTGTAGAGGGATCTTCATATGGTGTCTATCTTCCCCCGCATGTATCTCTGTGTCTATTCTGGTCCTTTTATAAGATACCATACAAAAGGGATTAGGTTTAGGACCCACTCTATTCTAGTAAATCCTCATTAACATAACAAAATAAACTCCCTATTTCCAAACAGGGTCACTTTCACAAGTACAGTGGTTAGGATTTCACCATATATTTTGGAGGAACACACTTCAATTCACAACACCACACTTATATTTTCATGCAGAAATTATAGTACATACATTTCCTCATTAAGTCTGGAGAAGTATGAACATACCACAACAGCAAAACCTGTTAAAATGAAAATTTTCGAAAGATGCAAAAAGTAAGACTCCTGGCACAGTCCTTCTACAATTCCCAGAATGTGACTTAAGGACCTCATAATTACTTGATACAATGAGGGCATATAAACTAGACCTAGAAGATCAGATTATTGAGAAGGGGGAGTAGAAGAAGTATCAGAACACTATTTTAAACTATTTAAATTGTAAGAAAACCAATCTTTTGCAAGCATTAAGCTGGGGGTAGGGGGACAGAAACAAAAATTATTTCTAAATGTTCAACAAGAATACCTAATGAAAAGGGGCCCCAAAGACAAAAAATATCAGAAACCCTTTGTAGATTCAGGATTTACAATCTGGAATCATGATGGCATGCCTTTCGTGTGTTCAGTGGTTTCCTGATAGCTTTCTTCCATTCTCGCCTCTACTTCTCAAGGATCCTTAATAATCTATTGTTAAAGAGTTGATTTCTTCCTGAAATGTGATTCAGGGTAAACCTCTTAACCAATTTTGTCCTCAGTTTCTCAATCTGTAAAATGAAAAGAATGACTCTAAAGTCTCTTTTGGCTCCAAGGTACCACAAGTTTCCATTTATTACTATGTCCAGAATAAATACATGCCAATATCTCTTTTCATGAGGATTTTTAAATCTGCATCAAAGAAGAAGGTACTAAGATTTTTTTTTCCAAATAAATAAAACATGCCAAATAATACACTAAGTTTTAAAACACTTGAGCAAGTTAGAAACATAAGTGAAAGACACTTGTGGACAGTTTTAACAGACAAATCTGGTCCCTGAACAACACAAAACCTATTTTTAAAACAGTGATCTTTAAGGCTTAGATTGAAAATAACAGATTTTACCAAAGGTTCTCAAAGTTTCAGAAGAGTGGGCCCAGAAACAGACCCACATAAATGTAGTGCTGTGACCAAGGAGCAAAGGTAATTCAAAGCAGAAAGGATAATGTTTTCAAAAAATAATGCTGGAACAACTGAATGTCCACAGGCCAAAAAAAAAATGAATCTCATCACAGACCTTACACCTTTCCCAAAAATTAATTCAAAATGGACCACAGACCTAAATATAAAACACAATACTATAAAACTTCTAGAAGAAAACACAGGAGAAAATCTAAGTGACCTTCAGTTTTTAGATACAATGCCAAAAGCATGATCCATGGAAGAATAAACTGATTTAAGTTTGACTTCATTAAAATTAAAAACTGCTCTGCAAAAGACACTGTTAAGAGAATGAAGACAAGCCACAGATTAGGAAAAAAACATTTGCAAAACACATCTCTGATAAAGGAACTGTGTCCAAAATATTCAAAACAAACCTCTTAGAACTCAACCAAAAGAAACCAATCAATCCAATTAAAATATGAGCAAAAGATGTGAAGACATCTCATCAAAGAAGAAATACAGATGGCAAACTAAGCTTATGAAAAGATGCTCAACATTACTTGTCATTTGTTGTTGTTGTGTGCCATCGAGTCAATTCTGATTCATAGCGACCCTATAGGACAAAGCAGAACTGCCCGATAGAGTTTCCTAGCCTGCAATCCTTACAGAAGTAGATTACCAGGTCTCTTCTCCCATGCAGCCACTGGTGGGTTTGAAACACCGACCTTTAGATTAGCA